TTTTATTGGATAATTGAATTTGGTTTTGATAGTTGGGCATCGTACATGCTTGCATCTTTGGCTATTGTTTATTTGTACCTAATCCAACAGTGTTTAAAATACCCATTGGAAGATTTGTGGATTTGCTGGTAATTTCCAAAACAATCGGTGTACATTGTTCCTGGTGGAATGGACAAGGCCTAGAAAACACTTTAAATTGAAACCTGCATGGAAGAGCTAATAGAACTTACCCATTAGTATTGTGCCTGGGCCCTAATTCCTTGGATTTGGTTAATTACATCTCAAATTCACCAAGTAAGCTAAATATAACCTTAATATTACCTTGTATCATTGTATGGTATAAACACTTGTAACATTTTATAACGGCAATAACTCGCAAATTAAATTAGGTAGTAATTACGACCCTTGTAACAGACGTCTGATTGTATTATTGATTTGTAATTGATTCATGTTTGCGAGTGTGCTTAAGTTTGACAGTTAAGGTTATGTTGCCAACAGCTGGTTGCACAGTGGGATAACAATTTTATTTGGAGCTAAGCTCGCACGGTGGGATAAATATTATTTTATTAGAATAAAGTGTCAATTTATTAAAGTATTGGTTAATTTGTTATTGTGAAAGAAACTCCCTCACCCTGACTTCCTGTTGAGTTTGTCGCAACTGGCGCCCTTGACTTCAGATTTTCGATCTTAAAACTTGAACCTCGACCTAGCGTCGACAAATAAGAGCTGCCGAGGTAAGTGCCCTATTTTATTGTATTTTTTTTTACAAACATAGGTTACAATATATATATATATATATATATATATTATAATCACGTTGAAGATCTGTTAAAGTGGACCTATTTTTTATTGCAAACATGTGTATTGTAAGAATATTATTGTTTACAAAGGCCTTCCTGCACGAATCTAATTGTTCCATTCTAAATATTGTTCTTAGGCACCTTTTTAGTAATATAAAGATTCTTCTACTGTCTACGGAGTTTCCCCAGAATATTATTCCATATCTAATTCGCGATTGAACAAAAGCATGATATGCTGACAGAGCTCCAGGGATGCTAATGCGATTATGGACACAGCGTAACAACATCGTGCAACGTCTGCAGCTAGGAGATTCACATGTGCTTTCCAGTTCAACCGTTTATCAAGATTTACACCCAGAAATGATAAGCTTTCAATTGACTCTATGTTATTATCAACAAATTTAATATTAAGATCTTGTTCTTTTCTGGCACTACAGGTCAAGAGCTTAGTTTTTGCAATATTTAAGAGCAAATTGTTAGAAGTAAACCAGTCATTAAAATTATTTAATGTTATCTCAATGTAATTCTTACACACTTCCAGATTCTCAGCCTTATAGAGCACAGATGTGTCATCTGAAAAGAGTACAATTTTGTTATTCGTGACACTTACCACGTCATTTGTGTATATTAAATACAACAGGGGGCCCAGAATTGAACCCTGTGGCACTCCCCTTTGTATGAGTCTACTATCTGACATCACCTTTACTCCCCCTTCATTAATGCCAATTACTCTCTGGGTTCTGTTTGAGAGATATGATTTAAATAGCTTCCAGAGAGATCCCCCTAATACCATACCTTTCCATTTTTTCAAGCATGGTCTACACTATCGAAGGCTTTGGAGAGATCCAAACACAAAGTTGCAGTTACTTTCTTCTCATTTAATGATTGACTTATTGCTTTTAATTTTAGGTTTTGTTTAACCAAACATCTAATCTAACTAGAAAATACAACATTTCCACGGGCAATAACCGGCATAAAAACTGCCGTACTTTGGCAAAACCTAATAACTATAGTTATTAGGTTCATATATGATTTTGTAACCAGAGCTGTCAAAGATACTTTTAAAAAGTATCTAGATACAAGATAAGTTACTTTTTGAAAAAGTATCCGAAGTTACTTTGGGTATCTAGTTACTGTTTAAAAAAAGGAACTTAAATACTTATATTAAGATACTTTTTTAGTTACTTTGTATATTATGTAAAAAGTTTCGTATAAACCGCCAAACAAAAATTCGTTCTAACCCCACCCTGATTTTTCAAATAATTTTAAGCTTACTTTTTTAACAATTTTTTTCAATAAAATCTAGTTGAATAAAACCATTGAAGGGTCTAATGCAAAAAGTGTCTAACTTAGGCACTTTTAAAATATCTTAAAAATAAAAAGAGATAAAATCGTTAATTAAACACCACTTAATTATAAAAATAAAAAAAATTATCTCACACTTTTCATTTAATCTTTTTTAACATTTTTTTAAAATTTAAAATGGAAAACATACATTGAACATTATAGAATGTACGGTACAATGTAACAACCAATATCCTACATCAGTACATCATAAAGAAGCAAGTGCAAGTACTTACCTAACCTAACTTATTTCAGACTATAAATTCAAGTCGCAACGAACGGAAACACCCTTCTACAGAGCGGGTGGCAAAGTCACAGATTATAAAAGAAGTATAGGTGAATAAAAGTAGTAGTAGGTATAACAAAAATCGCCGCCAGTCGATTGGCGCCAGTCGCTGAAGTCGCCAGTATACTTATTATAATAACTTCGATGGCCGCGGCCGTCTCGAACAACTTGACTAAAGGAACTTTTCTTGTGGTATCTTAGATACTTTTTGGTATCTAAGTTACTTTTTGGTATCTAAGTTACTTTTTGGTATCTAAGTTACTTTTTGGTATCTAAGATACTTTTCGGTATCTAAGATACTTTTTTTAAGTTACAAGATACAGTTCCTTTTAAAAAGTATCTAAGATACTAGATAATTTTTGTTAAAAAAATAAAGGAACTAAGATACAGTAACTTAGATACTTTAAAGTAACTTAGTTACTCTAAAGTAACTAAGATACTTTTTTCTGACAGCTCTGTTTGTAACTTTTCAGGACAGCGAATTTTCTAAAATTGCATAGCCTTTCTTTGCAACAAAATATTTAAAATATCTAATGATCAATTCCTACATAATTTTTAACGAGGAATTTGAAAAAATTAAAAAATTATCAAAAAAATAAGTAATTTGTGTACAAATATGAGTTACTATAGGTATTTTGTTAATTTATTTAAGTAATTATGCAAAAGCTGGCCATATCAATTGCTTGTTACTGTAATTTTTAAATGTAAAATATAGTTAATCGAGTATAACTTAAAATAAATAATTATTTAGGTTTTTTGCCATTTTATTTAGTAAAAAGACAATTTAAAAAATCATATTATATTAAGTAAAATTGAACATTTAGATATTAAGGTAAGTAAATCCAAAACAATTTTTTTATAATCTCTAAATATGGGACAAAGAGTCTTTAACATTGTTCCTTTCTTTTTAGTTTTTAACCCCAATGGTTCCAAATACGGTGCCACTGGTAGCTTAACTTCAAATTTGTTCTTCTGGACATATTTTGAACTTTCTTAATAATAAAACACCGTTATTACAAGTTAAACACACTATTCCAAACGTAAAACTAGTCTGGTAAAGTCCGATTTATTAAAAACAGATTTCTATTTATTTATTCGACTGTGCAAATTACGTAAATCATAATTCAGCAAATAGTAGTATAAAAAGTTCTATGTTGATTAAAATATGCACAAATTAACTTATTAAAACATCAACATTCAAGTTGCCAGATTTTAATCAATGCTGAAATATATACATAAAGCTTAGTCGTCACCCTAATATAACAAGGTTGTATGTTAAAAAAACCGAAAAATTTGAGTTTATGCTTCTACAAGGTTTTATTTAATCCACCCTTGACATACAACTTGAAAATAACTCTATATATATATATGTATACATAGAATATACATTCTATAGAATTATTTTTTTAAGTGGTATGTGAAGCGTAGGCCATGTATAATCCTGTAGAAACATAGACTTAAATTTTTCGTTTTTTAAAACATACAACCTTGTTATATTAAGGTGACGTAGTATTAATTATTTAATAACTTTAAAATACTCCCATTAGAAAATACTTTGCGTTAAACCTAGCAACTTGAGTTACTAGCTTTTACTGGGTAAATTAAAAAAAAATGGAACATTGTTGATTGTAAGTATATTTGCCATATTTTGCTTTAGGATACCTAACAGTTTTTAGAAGTTACTAAAAATAAAGATAGACATTTTACAGCCACCGTAATATAAAAAGAGATAAAAAATAGTTACTAAAGGTACATTTAAACGCTAAATCCAAAAATGCAGTAATTTTTTAAAACCTAGTAACTTTAGTTACTATGCTCTACTAAAGTACGGCAGAAAAGTTATAGTCTAATTTATGCGTAAATATTCCTCAAAATTTTTAAATTGTCCAAGATACTTTTCTTTTAATTGTTTGATCATCTCACATTCATGTTCATAATTGTCCTCTTCTTATGAACTTTGAGCTTGTTCTTTTAAAAATATTGTTGAAATAATGTTTTTTACTTTTTTAACTTTTTCCTTTTAATTGGTGACACTCCTAGAAGTTCCAAAGATTCATTAAAAGAACTAAATCAATGTCCGTGCTGTATAAAATCTGTATTTTGTTCTTCCGTTATCGTTGATTGTCTAAAAGAAGAACAACTTTTTAAATTTTGTTATTAATATCATTAGGTACTTTTATTTTTATTTAGAGATAAAGTCAAGTTTTAAATTAAAAAATAAATAGTAACTATGGTTACTATTTATTTTTTAATTTAAATAGATTTTACTTACCCAGGTTGCACTTCAAAGGCCTTTAACTCTCTAGACACTTTTATTCTACAGTTTATCACAAATTTTCATTTCCTTCTCATTTTTTTTTTAATTTTTACACATCCATTCCGTTAAAATTCTTAAATTAGGGGAATGTTTTACTCTTAAATCCAAAGGATTACAACAATTTATGAACGGTTTCCAATTACTTGCTTCATTTTGTAAAAATAGGTTCAGAATGCAAAAAAAAGATTTTTAGATTGTAACCAGTTAGTCAACAACTAAATTTAATATATTTCAAATTTACTTGTTAATTATTATGGCAACCATAGCAACTAAAGTCAAAGGTATGTTCTTATTTGGATAAAGTTTTAAATATAATATGGACATGACTTGTGGCTATCAAATTAGGGGTAATTTAACTTGAATTAAAAAAAATGTTTATCAAATGATGGAAGATTATGGTGGCTACAACTTTGTATGTAGAAATATATTTTTTCATGCAAAAATATATTTCTACAAATGCATTTAATTTAGATCCGTGCATGCACATTTTAATTTTTTTTAAGATTACAAGTGTCAATCTTAACAACAACAACAACAAATAAACTGCTCGTCATAAAAATCGACGCACCTAGTTTTTTGGAAAATATTTGAAAGCTCGTTATTAGAAAATTACTGAATCGATTTTGAAAATCTTTAGAAATTCTCAATAGCTGATTCTTTGACTCTTATGTCTAATTTTGGTAATACGATATTTTGCACATAGCATTATACTACAGGGTTGTAAACAAAGAGATGTATTTTTTTCAAAATTTCAAATTATTCCCATTCATGAGGCAGTTAAGTTTGATAGTCGTAATACCCCTCCCTAATATAAGTAAGGTAATCCCTCGGAACGTTTTCGAGATTTTGTGAATATCGCGGCTTACTACGATTATATGCCAATTTTTCGAAAATTGTCGTTCTTTAGAAATTCTCAATAGCTGATTCTTTGACTCTTACGTCTAATTTTGAGAATACGATATTGTGCACATAGCATTATACTACAGGGTGTTAAAAAAGGGATGTTTTTTGTCCAAAATTTCAAATCCCCATTCACAGGGCAGTTGAGCTTGATAGTCGTAATAACCCTTTCTAATAAAAGTTAGGTTAGGTTATCTCTCGAGAGATAACCTAACTGTTATCGGGACGTTTTCGAGATTTTGTGGATATCTTGGCTAACTACGATTATATGGCAATTTTTCGAAAATTCACGTTATTCTTCACTTTAGTCCATAAAATGAGCAATAGTTGATTCTTTGACTCTTATGTCTAATTTTGGAAATACGATATTGTGCACATAGCATGATACTACAGGGTGTTAAAAAAAGAGTTGTTTTATTCCAAAATTCCAAATCCCCAGGCAGTTGAGCTTGATAGTCCTAATACCCCTTCCTAATAACAGTTAGGTAATCCCTCGGGATGTTTTCGAGATTTTGTGGATATCTTGGCTACGATTATATAGCAATTTTTCGAAAATTGTTGTTATTCTCCACTTAATTCCCAAAAATAAGCAACTACTAAAGTTTTCGATTAGTTATCAACACATCGTTTCCCCAATTTGAATGTTCTTGTGCCCATCTTCTTCTAGCAGAAAAAGAGGGCAGGCAGCTCTTCGTCTTGCGTGGTATGCAACCTTACATCCGCCATTTTATTTTTTTAAATGTGTTTTGCAGTTTAAAAAATGTTTTCATATTCGATGACAAAAATGACAAGAACAATTGAAGGGAGGAAAGCAGATGTGCGCCATATTTTTTAAACTTTCATTGTCAACCGTTTGTAGAAAAGTGCATGAATATAGCCTGCATAAGTTTACGACAATAATTTTGTTTGGTTTGCGTTTTTATTTTGAATTTCACCGAAAAAAATTGCTTTTGTGTGAAACATTTCACTTTTAATGAATCACGCAACGTACATCAACTGGAAGCACGTGACCTACGTTAAAACGCTGTGTTGATACCTTCTGTAGTTTGCTCATTTTTGGGACTTAAGTGAAGAATAACGTAAATTTTCGAAAAATTGCCATATAATCGTAGTTATCCAAGATATCCACCAAATCTCGAGAATATCCCGAGGACTATGACATAGTCATAGTCACTATGTGCACAATATCGTATTCCTAAAATTAGACGTAAGTGAAAGAATCCACTATTGCTCAATTTTTGGACAACTGGGGAATAACAAAATTTTTTGAAAAATTGTCATATAATCGTAGTTAGCCAAGATATCCACAAAATCTCGAAAACGTCCCGAGGGATTACCTTATTTATATTAGGGAGTGGTTTTACGACTATCAAACTCAACTGCCTCATGAATGGGAATAACTTGAAATTTCGGAAAAAATACATCTCTTCGTTTAACACCCTGTAGTATAATGCTATGTGCAAAATATCGTATTCCCAAAGTTAGACATAAGAGTCAAAAAATCAGCTATTCAGGATTTCTAAAGATTTTCAAAATCGATTCAGTAATTTTCCAATAACGAGCTTTCAAATATTTTCCAAAAAACTAGGTGCGTCGATTTTTATGACGAGCAGTTTATATAAAAAATATAGATTTGTATCCCAGCCCACCGTGCTGCTGAAAAAAGTGAAAAAATCGAAGGTACAAATCAACCAACTATTTGGAGTAAAATGACCCATAAATATTCATTTTTTGTATATTAGTGAGTTCCTTTATATTTTATTTCACCATGAACCCGTTCAGTGTCCATCTTGAAATTTTGTACATAGCTTATCAAAATGTGCACAAAAATATATATATTTAAAAAAAATTAAAAAAGGTATTTTTGAGATAAAAAAATAATTTTTTTTCATTTTTTTAAATTAAATTTAGGTTATGTGATACATCATAAAAAAGGTCTCTAATAGGCCTTTGAAATAATCCATCACTCACCTATATACTTTTAATAGTTTACGAGATATCGCTATTTTTGTAAGTACTTGCAAGACACAAATTGGTAATTTTTTGATTTTGAAAAATCAATAAAACAAAAACCACCTATCAAAAAAAATTTAAATTTCGGATTTTCTAGTTTTTTAGTGAGGTTAACAAAATAACCAAAAACTATCAAATTTGGAAATGGTGAGGGAAAAACCTTTGGTTGATTTGATATGGACTGACCCTAAAGTAAATTAAAGTATAATTTTGGCTTGAAATATAAGTAAGTAACAAAACCTTGAGTTTAACTTAATGACCACAACCTTAGGTTATTATACTTTTTAAGTTGTGGTGGCGCCCAGGCCATAATGTAAGTATGAGAAATACAGACCTACGGACCTATGCTCCCAGACACGAGAGCTGCCGGAGCATATAACCTATCCCAAGTTGGTTATAGGATGTTTATTTTATGACGTATTTTGCGTATATTTATACACATGTGAGAAGGGTAATATTGTCTATTATTACGACAAATTTTTAAATTATTACACTCTTAATAAGACAATTGCAATTGTCCCATGGGCTCAAAAATAAACAAAGACAGATATATATATATATATATATATATATATATATATATATATATATATTATATATATATATATATATATATTAGGGTAGTCCTAAATAGGTTCCAAATATATAAAAAAAAATATGTGCCAAAATTGCAGCTCTTAATTTTAAAATTAAGCCGGCCCCACTGTGTCGTATTTGACCTGTATAGGCGACCAAAAGTCGATTTCTGAAGTTGCCCTTACAGCAAAAAAATATACATAAAATTGATCCTTATGCTTTTCTTGACAATGTACAATAGGGTGATTCAAAAAAAGCCTTTTTTTAAAAATGAACCCGCACTGGCCTAAATTATAAAGATTACATTAAAACTAAAAGATTAATACCAAATAATCCAAATTCGATGAATATTTAGAGGTCGCTCAAATCGATTTTCGTATTTTTGCACATTCGAGCCGCGAAATTATTACTGCGCAAAATAGTAAATAACTCCGTTAGTTTTTATTCGATATTATTAAAAATTTAAGGGTTACCTAGTTTTTTAATACCCTCTGAGACAGTGAATTAAACTTTACGGAAAAAAAAAATTTTTCATGAAAAAAAAATAATTTGTTAATAAAAACGTATCATCTTATAAAATAGGCAACAATTGGAATCGCACTATGATGGTACCGTAAAAAAACTAAGAAAATAACAATTAAATTATTTAGCATACATAAAACCTGCCGAAAGAAATATTTTATTTGATTTATATAAAACCTAACCTAATAATAATTAAGTTATTCAAATTTTTCCCATTTTCATACGATTTTATAAATAATTTATATCCGTTTTATTAATTATGACGTATTTTTATAAAATTTCTTTATTTTTGATACCATATTTAATTAATTACACTAAGTAGTTATTAATTTATGTCCTTTTTATAATTAAAATAAAAAAAATCCTTTTCATCAAATTTTCGGTTTTTTTTTTTTAATTTTATGGTATAATTAGCAGACGGGAGGTGAAAGGTGGCAAAACAAGGCAGCGTTGTCCCCCCCGCTGGGGCACCGAAAAAATTTCGTAAATTTTTTGTTTTATTGTTTTTTTCGGTTTCTAAATCATTTGAAGGATGGTACAATTTTGGAAAACTTTTCATATGCTCATTTTTTGGGTACCCCCATTTTGCCCCCCTCCGCTGCCTTGTTTTGCCCCCTTCCACCTCAAGTCTGCTAATTGTACCATAAAATTAAAAAAAAAAACAGAAAATTTGATGTTAATCAAACTTTGACCTCGAATAACTCTAGAAGAAATCAATTTATCGAAACATAATAAGAGACCTTTTTTGTAGAGCGTTAAATTTTATATAAGAAACTGCAATAATCATTGCCATAAGTTACTTTGATACAGAGGTATAAAATTCCAAATATAAAATTATTTTTTCCCATGTTAATTCAATGGGAAACTAAAATAAAAACAGCGACCTCTTAGAGTTGAGCTGGAACGCCCATATTTGGTGAGGATTTTCTTTATATTAAATAAAAACATTTGAGAGGGTAAGAGCAAAAAAAAATTTTTTTGAAGCACCCTAATGTATATATTTATATCAAAATTTAAGAATAATAATTATTATTGTGGTATGTCAATTTAGCAACATCTAGACAGAATCAAATAATTTTGGTATCAAAATTTGAGAATTGTTGTATGTCAATAATTTTAATAAAATTTAAATTTCTGCTTAAGCCATATCAATGCAGTGAATAATTTTGTAGTTAACGTTATTTTATTTATATATAAAAAAGGACCTAATTTAATAACTACCTAGTGTAATTAATTAAATATGGTATCAAAAATAAAGAAATATTATAAAAATACGTCATAATTAATAAAACGGATATAAATTATTTATAAAATCGTTTGAAAATGGAAAAAATCTAAATTACTTAATTATTTTTAGGTTATATTTTATATAAATCAAATAAAATATTTCTTTCGGCAGGTTTTCTGTATACTAAATAATTTAAGTGTTATTTTCTTAGTTTTTTTACGGTACCATCATAGTGCGATTCCAATTGTTGCTTATTTTATAAGATGATACGTTTTTATTAACAAATTATTTTTTTTCATGAAAAATTTTTTTTTTTTCTGTAAAGTTCAATACATTGTCTCAGAGGGTATTAAAAAACTAGGTAACCCTTAAATTTTTAATATTATGTCGAATGTGCAAAAATACGAAAATTTATTTGAGCGACCTCTAAATATTCATCGAATTTGGATTTTTTGGTATCAATATTTTAGTTTTAATGTAATCTTTATAATTTAGGCCAGTGCGGGTTCATTTTTAAAAAAAGGCTTTTTTTGAATCACCCTAATGTACAACCATTTGTTTATTTATAAAATATTAATAAGGACCGTGACGTATAAAATTTTAAAACAATGCACAAACACATTTTTTTATATAAATAACTCGCGCTTGGTAAATATGCGATTAAAACTATAAATTATAATTAACAGGAGTTATATTTGGTAGATTGCTTTAAAATAAATGTCTTTTAAGGTATAACATTAAAAATTAAAAAAATATTTTATTTTATATATAGTAACAGCCGTCCAAATTTTGTCATTTTTTTAACGTGCATTCAAGCAAACTTTTTGCAAATAGTAATGGTGCCCCAGGTTGCCCCAATTTCTTTTGTGTGTGGAAGTGTTTGTTAATATATGAATAATGGTCGTTACTAAGGATTTTGACGGGAAATGTTGAGAAACTTGGCTACACTTGATTTTATGTCAAAAAATGTGTATTAGAGCTCATTTTTTTAAACTTTTGTCTTTATTTTCCGAGTTTTTTTTAAATCTGGCGCCTTAAAATTAATTAAAAACATAAAAGTAATAAATATATATTAATTTAAAACTAATTTGGTCATTTGAAAAAAAAAATGTCTTTGTTTTGACGCAAATACTCGAATATATATTTTTTTACTTTTGTCTTTAGTTTTTCTAAAATAACTCATTCTATATAAATATATATATATATATATATATATATATATATATATATATATATATATATATATTTACATTTTTCCTTTAAAAATTAAACATTTCAGTTTATTTCAGAAGGCACAAATACGTAAGCGGTGTCGGCTACGTTACAAATTATAATCAAGTAGGTACATAGGCGGCTTCGGCCACCTTTCAAAAAGATAGCTGTAAAAAATAATTTTTAACTGTACAAAAAATATGTCATTATATTTAGGATTCTCGGTTTGCAGTGTGCTATATAAAACTGCGAAATGTGAAAATAAAGGGTAAAGTATAGTTGTCGGGGCGAATTTTTCAAATTGCGTCATCAAATTCTGAACCAAGCACAGACATTAGTCGAATACAATTGAATCGGTGAGAATAAGTACAGTACAAGTCCAAAAATTTAATTTTGACATTTTTTAAAATCAATAATATTCATATTCTTTAAAATGATTTATATCTTCTCAGAAAAATGTATTTTAAACTTTAAAATTGATTTTAAAAAATGACATGTCAAAATTTAATTTTTGGACTTGTACTGTTCTTATTCTCACCGATTCAATTAACCTTGCCAAAAACTGTAGTCAACAAATTGCAAGTCAAATCATATTAACAGAAGAAGTGGTTCTCAAAGCAGTTCATCTTTAAATTTAAATAAAGGACGAGGAGTCAAACTGAAATTAGAGTTATTATGTAAAAAAAACAATGAATGACTACGTGCAAATAAATAGACTCTTGTAAAGTAGTGATATATAAATAATTAGTAGTTATGTGTTTAGTTAGTTTTATAGTTTTTTAATGTTTTAAGTGTAATTAAGTTATAAAATAAATCGTTGAGTTCGTTAATAAACCAGTGCATGTTTTTATTCACACTACGAACAGTAAAAAACGTTACAATATCAAAAAGTAAAAAAGGAAAACAAATTTAACATTTTTTATTAAATATTAGTCGCAATAATTCAATGATTTTGGCGATTTCATTAATTAAAGCAAACTCATAGTACAGGAGTAAATATAAAAAAATATACAATATCCTTAAAAAAAAAAAAAATAGCTACGTAGCCGATTTTAAAAATGTATTTTTTACAAGGTGGAAATATGAACTTTTGCAAAAAATATGCGGTTCATCTTTTATATATTTTTATTGTTGAAGCTTTGGTCCAGGCGAACTGTGCTATACAGGCATTTTATCTAGGTCTAGATAAAATAAAAAATACAACTAAAATATTTTTTATCAAAAAACATCCTAAAATATAATTTGTGTTTAGTAAGCGTGTTTAGTGGAGCAGCCGGAGCTTTCCGGCACACATCTAAAACAATCCTTTGACGGCTAGCCATTGAAAATGGCGAAAAATAAACGTTTTATTTCTGAATTATCCAGACTAATTAGTTATATTTGCATAGTGCGTGCATGAGGTAAGCTAATGAAAAAGTTTGGAACCTATTACTATATGTATTATACAGTGAAAAACTAACGAACCATAAAAAATACAAATAACTCCTATTTATAAATGTTAAAAGGAATATTTATGAAAAAAGTTGATTAGTATTAAAGTTTAGCTATGAAAATGCATAAATTAAATAATATAATTAACAATGTTGATATTTATTTTTACTTTATGAAAAATACTTATTAATGTAGGTACTAAATTGGTAGTACCAATTTTTGGAAAAGATAAAGTAAAATTTGGTAAAATTAATTTTAATTTGTTGTTTTTGATACATTTTTGTAACCAATATTTTTCATTTATACATAAGTTTTTAAAATTTAAAACGATTGTTTTAGCAATTTTGATGTTGAGCGCTTTTTATAAAAATGATAAACGGTAAACACTAATCGATGGCATTTTTCTTTCCCAATTATTGAATAAATTTAAAATAAAGATCCATTATTATTTTTAATACTAAATCTTTGAATAAAAAACCTAAACCTTGAGTGCCCCCTACATTGTTTAGCCCCGGGCCCCATTTTTCCTTAATACAGCCCTGCTAAATTTTTAAATTCTTTATTCTTAAATATGTTGCTAAACTTTAAACAAATACACATATGCTTAAAAGTGCTAAAAAGTACCTATTGCAACTATAATATGTATATTAAAATATTTTATGTATTTATTTTAGGTCCTGGCTATTGGGGTCTGATGAATCCACAATGGAACATGTGTTCAAAAGGCAGACGGCAATCCCCAATAAATGTAGAACCAGACAAATTATTATTTGATCCTTTATTAAGGCATATACACCTTGATAAGCATAAGGTAAGTTAAAATACATTTACATACATTTTTATATAAAAATACATTAAACCCGGTTTCAAAATTCTTTAAAATTCTTTATATAAACATCGAGCAAAGGTAAACAAACTTTTACATTCTGCACTATGCGCCTTAGTTTTGATTTCTTTTAAATATTGTAAGGAAAGTTATAAGATTAATTTTTCGTATACCAATATTTCGTCATAAACGAGTTTTTAGTCAGTATAGGAATTAAGTTTTACTTTACATGACTTTTATATGGTATTTCCTTAGTAAATGTAGAAGACTTATTTTGATTGATGGAAACACATGTCAAAAACTTTTTCAGAAGAAAAAGCGAAAGAAAAACTGACCAAAATTTGTTAAACTTCTAATAATGGTTTTTTAGTTTTAGTCCTAACGTGTCAAAATACTAATGTTTGCATGATGATTCATTTCAAAAAAAAAATCTTTTTATACTTCTAAAGCTAGTAAAAAATTCACATCTTAAACATTTTAAGATGTGAATTTTTTAGTCGCTTTAGCAGTGTAAAAAGATTTTTTTTTTAATTTAAGAATATTTAAATATGTGTAATAAAAATAATTCATTTATTTAACTTAAAGTTAGTCATACGGTTATTGTTTTTGTTGGGATTTATTAGATATTACAAAAAATATTTTTTTTATTTAAAAAAAATGCTACACGTTATCTTGTAAAAGAGTTTTCGGAAACTTAATAGACATTTTTTCTTTTTATTTTTAAACTAGTTATCTCATTGTAAATTTTGTTTCAATATCAATAAATCATCCTGTATAATAGTTATTTTTTTTACAAAAGGTATCACATACAGTGTGTCCCCGGATAGGTGAAACGACTCTTGTAAAATCCAAAAAATTTTGAATTCAATTTTTATTTCCGGGGGTTCAGCCCTGCTTGATAAAAGATTATTTTTTAACATAATTTCAATTTTGAAAATTCAAGTATTCCTTGGAAATATTAAACAAGTTGTTTAGAGTTAACATTTAGGCCCCTATACCAAATTTTAAAATTCTTGGCCAACTTTGATTTTATTTTTTTTACTATTTTATGTGTGTAAAGTGCCTCTCATGTGAGATATACTACAAAATATTATAAAAAAATCATATATTAGAACCATATACCAAATTTCAAATTTCTTGGCCACTCATTTTGTAAAAATCTAGGTAGTAAAAAAATAAAAATCAAATTTAGCCAATAAATTTGAAATTTGGTATATGGACCTAAAATGTGATTCTAAACAACTTTTTTTATAATATTTTGTAGTATATCCCATATGAAAGGCACTTTACCTCCACAAAAAGTAGTTTTTTTTAATTTCCAAGGCACACTTGGTTTTTAAAAATTAAAATTTTTTCGAAAATTAATCTTTTATCAAGCAGGGCTGAAAAATTTAACTCAATTTTTTTTATTTTACAAGAGTCGTTTCACCTATCCGGGGACACACTGTATGTATTGGGAATCAAACATACAAAAGAGTCTTAACAAAAACAGTATTATTAATCAAAAATGAATATTTTTAAAAACTTAAATCGTCATTGTAAAAATGCTGCAAAATTATATAGGTAAGCCTTGTAAAAACTCGAGATCGCATAAATTTTTAAGTAGTTATTTAAATTTAATCCGTTTAATGTGGTGAACAGCCTACGATCGTAAATTTTCCGCAAATGGACGCCATTAGTTTTTTAATATGATTAAATTTTTTTCAGTTTTTCTGCGCAGACTTTTGAATAGTAAATAACGTACCAAAAAGTTTAAATCGTGTGTATAATGGTTTTGATCATTAGTGCGGTAGGCCGCAGAAGCGTGCTCCGTGATTGAATGATAGATGACCTCGCAGCGGACAATTATTCAACTCACTTTTAAAACCATCATCATTTGTCATACGTGAAACCTTTTAACAATACTATGTTCAAACCTGCCTTAACTGAATTAATAGCCAAATTTAGATTTGTTGACATGCCTTTCCTTTTAACTTGCAAGACACAAAATTAAACGTTTTGTTTTAAATAAGTTTTATTTTTTCAGGTTAGCGGTATGTTACACAATACTGGCCAGTCTTTGGTGTTTAGGGTAGACAAGGACACAAAACAACATGTTAATATATCTGGAGGTCCTTTGGCCTATAGGTATCAGTTTGAAGAAATCTACATACATTATGGTATAGAAAATCAACAAGGTTCTGAACACCACATACATGGGTATTCATTTCCAGCAGAGGTGAGTGGAAAAAATACCTTTAAAAATCGACATTTTAATCTCTGGATTTATTAAGTTTTCAGCAAAAATTGCAATACTATTAATACTATTGTAAATTAATGATTGCTGCCTCAAAATAGTCAATTAAAATAGTGTACGTAAAAAACAATATGAACTAAGGCTGTTTTTGTGAAAAGCGCTTTAATTATTTTTACAGCCTGGAAGGTTTCTTAAAGATAATGGTAGATTATGGCATTAGGAGGAGTCTTTTTGCGCTAAGCTCAAAAGATTGCAGCCAAGGCTCTTCGTGTCGAGGTAAAGCAATTGAGCGAAGCTCAAAAAGACACGAACTTAATATGAATGAAAGTCTTGTCTCGTCTCGCTGATGAAATAAGAAGTCTTGTATCGAGTCTCGTCTCGTAGCTTCCAGTCTCGTCTCGCTTCTCGTACGAGAGTCTTGCAAAAGTATCGAAATCTCGTCATCCATAATCTTTTTCTAGTCCAGTACGGTCAAATTCATCGCACGTCATAGTTAAGGGTTATTTAAAGCCATTCTTACTTTTTATATAATGATTTATACTGTCAACCGTGTTTGTTTTAAGTTATCTAATCTGAATTAAATCACCATAAAAAGTAAATATGGACCAAATTGGTAGTCTGTCAGGGGAGGCCGGTAAAGCAGTGCCTCCCCATAAAGAATTTAAGATAATTTACATATTTTACTTTATAATATAAAATGTCAATATTTTAATTACAGAGATTAATATAAATATAGAATATATTCAATAAATTCAATAAATTGCTCCTGCCTCACCAAAACAAAATATCACGAGCCGCCACTGGGACCAATATTCGGCGTTTTCTTTGTGTAGCATGGGCGGCGTGATATGTACCTATTTAAACATGAAATATAATATTGAAACTAAATATTATAATAAATAGTTGTGGCAAAATCTTTTTGGCATCTGAAACCGACTAGCAGTATTTCACTGAAAGATCATTGAAAATAATAAAAACAATTTGGGAACATGTTTTAATAGTTTAGAAAAAAGTATAAAAAAATAATCCAAGTAAGAATAGTTTAACCGCCTGCCGATAGCGGCTTTTCTTTTGAAAGCCGTTTTAGCTGCTTTGCAGAAATACCTGTAAGACTCGCACTAGACTTGAGACAAGACCAATAAAGGTCTCGTCTCGAAAACAATATGAGACCATGCGAAACTCGAAAACGAGACTCTCTTAGGCACCACTAATGACAGTCTGTTAATGAAAGATGCTTTCTTAGAAGGCATAGGCGGAGATAATATGATCATATAATTTGTTTTACCCTATTTCATTCATATGAATAAAATATACCAACACCTAATTTTCACTCTTATCCACTAGGGGAGACCGGGGCGGAATGGGGACTCTAAAGTTTAAAAATTATTTTTAGTAGGGTAGAGACGTGGTACAAATTCAACAAAAAGCAGAACGATTTATTAAAGTATTATAAACAAAATACAACCAAAAAATTAACATAAATGCTTAACAATTTTTTTTATTATCTTATTAAAAAAAAGTGTCCTTTACTCCATTCCGCCTTGCCTACGGGGCAGAATGGGCTTATCGGATTTACACAATTCACAGACAAGTTCTGCATCGTCGTCATCACTCTCTATCCCAGCACACGAATTGTGAACCCACTTTTGGCAATGTGTGCATAAAATCCAACCCTCAAATGAAGCTGAAAATGGGTCTATACAATATATATCTAAAAAAGTTATAAAACTAAACAAAATTTCACCAAGTTTAGTCTAAAACACACTAAAACGTTTGTAGTAGCCCGTTTGTCATTACCAACTGACGTGTTGACCTTCTAGTAAATGATAACAAAGAACGATAGTACTATCGATCGTCTGCAGCGGGAAATTTAAATAAAACACCATTCTGCCTCGGTACCCCGTTCTACCCCGGTCTTCCCTACGTCATTGTTTCGTGAGATACGTAGTATGCAAGAACTTTAAATCCGTAGTAATTTTAACTACATTTTGCCACCAACATATCACTACAAACTCGGCATTACATCTAAATTATTATCAATATTTTGGCATCATCGCAGATTCCCAGAATATTACCTAAAAGTAATTGCACCTCGTTAATGGTATTATTTGGTGATAACTTCGTAGTTGCAACTCCTCGTTTGGAACCTCAATTTCTTATTAAATGAGAAAGTGAGATTCAAAACGAATTTTACTACAAAGTTTGAATAACTAATATAATATTAATATTTATTATAACCATATATTTACTAATATAATATTCAGCGCCGGATTTAGGGGGGGTCTTTGGGGGTCTATAGACCCTGGGCGCAAGCTTACAGGGGGCGCAAAATTTTTGACTGGTAATTTTTGTTTTTTACTACAACCTAAAAGGTTTTCCCCTTTTTTATTTTTCGTGTATTAATCAGTTTTAATAAAAAAATTATTTAAATTATAACCGTGATTGTTGCCATAGTATTATTATCTATGCATAGTATACGAAATATGTCATGTCACGTATTACGTAGGGCGCCCGACAAGTTGTTGGGTGACAAGAACTTTAGTTTGCAGAAATTGATTATTTCCACCGATGCGATGCGTATGGGCGTAAAGTTTTTTTAATATAAGAATATTTTATTACACTACGAACAACTATTAATTTAAATTAGTTTAAAACTATAGTTATATACAGTACCAGTCATATATATATGTATGTATATATACAGTATAGGTATTAGCCTATTGAAAGATGACGTCAATATTGCGATAAACAAATTTGCTTCTCTAAAAGCACGCAAAGTTGAGTTGGCAAAATGTTAATTTTCTTATTTAGGTATTTGTTTTTTATATAGTTTTTGTTTATGTTTTTAGGGTGGCAATATTTTTTCGATATTTTTTTTTATTTCGGAGCTCACATGAAACAATTTAAGTTTAAAGTATTCAAGTTTCAACTCAAAAACAAAATAAACGTCGCTCAAAAAAATCAACTAAATTGGAAGTAGTAGTAGTTATAGTAGTAGTACAAGATCAAAATTATTAAAAAAATCAAGAAATGTATTTCAAAAATATTGAGCGACCAATAATATTTTGACTTAAAAATGTATTATGTTCCTATACGACCTACAAAAAAAAATAGTGAGAAGCCAAAGATTTTGAGAAAAAAGGTTGGTTTAAAAAAGTTTTGAGCGACGTCTAAAATTTTTTTATCTGTTGAAACTCAAATACTTTAGACTTATTTTTTTTATTTGATCTCCAAAATCAAAAAAATTTCGAAAAAATACTACAACGTTGTAGGGTACCCTAATGTTTATGGTTAAATAAAATCCTTTTGTTAAGAAGTGACATTTCTTTGAATTTATTATATAGGTAGGGGCGGAAAATTTTTATTAGACCCGGGGCGCAAATTTTTATAATCCGGCGCTGATAATATTAATATTTATTATAACCATATATTTACATATATACTATAGTCAACGGGATTCACAATAAGCGTTCTCCTAATTGCCAGCCTGGGTATGTATATTTTTGTGACGTGTAATTGTGGACCAGTAAAAAAAAGCTAGAGCAGTAGTGTGTGCAAATATATTTTGTAAAAAATGGCTGCGAAAAAACCCATATAACCAGAAAACGATTGAATTTTTCCGAAATTTGGACATGTCGGCTCTTTGGGTTTTCGCGCAGCCATTTTTCACAAAATATTTATGCACACATTACTGTAGCATTTTATATTTTGGGGACTGTTCAACATTTTACAAAAAATTTAAAGTTATAGACTCAAAATTTATGCGACAGTAAACACTGACACTTAATTAGAAATAACCGGTTTAATGTAACTTTATTAAGTTAGGTTATCCCTATTTCGCGAAGAGGTAGCTTAAACTTCAAAGTGGTAGCTAAAACTTCGAAATGGCAGTGGGAACTATGACGTGACAAAAGAGGTGCCGGCGACTTTGATGTTACTCTAGCGTAATTTGGGACTTTGCAAACAAAATTACTTTTTAGTTCTAGTCATATCGAAAGTAATATTTTATAGTTTAACCTACTTTAAAGTTCTTTATCGTGAAATCGGCCATTTATATCCTTATATAAACATCGCCATTTTTGTTCGATATTGATTAATATTGGCAGAAAAAATTGTTTGACTTTTACGGGAATAGAAAACATGAATTATTATAAAATTATTATGAATTATTGACAACTATTAAGGTACCAAAACAAAAAAATGCTTTCTTGCAAGTATGGTTATCACTTATTAAAACATAATTTATTTTCAGGCTAACAGTGTTAATGAAAAAATTCATCGTCGAAGGTATTTAACAGTATAATTGTAATATTTCACAGTAAATTTGCATTTGTTTGTGTTTTACCTCTCAGACAGTGGCGTAGCGACAGTACCGCGAACACCTGCCACCGCGGGGGGCCCTAGCCTTGTGGAGGCCCGGCCTATACTTGCCCCAAAACATTAAAAAACTTATTTCCATTGTATTATCTGCAAAACAAAAAACGTGACGCGACGCTTAAAAATTATGGCAACATTGTAAGATTGCTAGTTATCTTTGTATGTTATAAAATGATGTCATTATTTTTCTATTATTTTAGTAGTACGACAAAATTTAAATTATTTTCTCAAGATTGCAGATTTTGAAAATAGACTTAAAAATGATACCCGTGTCTCGGCGTGTTTTTAGATCAGGGCTTCAATAACAGCTAAATGTATAGTTTTTGAAAAAATTTATTTAATGAATAAATTTTATTTAAAAAAAATCAAAAATTAAATTTTTTTTATTTTTATTTATAGAATTTTTTTTAATTAAAAAAAAAATTTTTTAAGTATAATTTTTCTATTATTTAAAACATTCAATATTTGAAAAAATAATTTATAACAAAATAGAAAATTAAATTTATGTATATGTTAAAATAATAAGAATGGCTGTATAAAAAATTTTAATGACGTGATTTCGTAAAGCGGTAAGTCACGGACATGTCTTTTTAACCTATATTTTG